CTTGACATATCTTGCTTTGCGTGTAATGCGTCTATCTCATATATTGGTTTCACCTTTTGAGTTGCCTTACTGACATAAATGAACATTTGCACAATATTCTAATTTTTCGAGTTTCACCTGTAGATATTACATTTCCTCTGTGTCCTCTAGCACAGCATGTTATTTTGGTGTTTTGTAATATTTAATATTTGGTGTATTATTAATATTTAATAATAGTATCACTAGCCGTATTATATACTTTAAATCCCAAAGAGATATAAAACGTATTTTGAACTAAATATGGCAACTACCCTATACGATCACTTAGAATTACTATTCTCCTTCTAGTTTAAAAACCATTTTTAAATAAATGCTTCATATAGTCTGTATTTAGAGTACTAAATAATCTATTCTAAATTAGAACAAACGTTGCCTCTTTTCTGTCAGAAAATCATAGTGTATTCTATCTCAGGTATAAGCTTGCAGTATATAATTGCAAGTATAATGGAAATTATTTGTAATTTAGCTGTAGCTGTTAATAAGACAATGAAGATAATTAGATTTTCACTTGATATGGCTTATAATCTTTTCATGTGTTTTGTTAAATATTTGTTTAAATTGGTCAAGATAATTAGAGATAAATGAATTATTAGTGGACAAATGAATTATTAGTGGACAAAGATAAGCCAACCTAAACTAGCCTAAAAGAACAGTATGTCCAGACAAGAATACAATGTATATTAATAAAACATAGAGCAAAATAAAAACAATAGTTGTTATGCTACAGCTGAAGTGAGAGATGGATTATCAGCATAGATGGCCAATTTGAGATTAACTTTTAAATATTCAACAGGCTTACTACAGCAGTTGATCTTCCTCCAGAATTTATTCATCTTTATATATCCAATTGTATTTCTACTTGCGAACAAATTAAGGACAAGTATATGCAGGTAAGTGTTCAGAAAGAAACTACAGACTCTTGCAATGAAATGCAGAAAAGTGCAGCATTTGACATAGAAAGAACCTGGAAGTAGAAAATATTCTTGCAGAGTTTAAGAACCACAAAACCCATTTGGTCAAAAAAGATGTTAGTTCTGTATGTTTTCAGCATAACATTTCACATATAGCATATTGTGTTGTTGCATACGTAGAAGACCAAGGACAGGAAAAAAATCCCAGAAATGATCATCGAAGTTTCTTTAAAATGTGAACATTACTGCAAAATTCTGTTCATGACTGTACTTTAAATATTTGCCTACATAGGCAAATATGAATATGGCAGAGTACTGCAGTACCTCTGTACAACATTTTGTTTATTAATATGCTTGAATGTATTATTGACAGCCAAAATAGAAAAACAAACATTGCTGCAAAGATCTTTGGTTGCCTGAGGAATATTGCTTTGGGTAAATTTAGTCCTGCAGCTTCTGGATATTTTTCAGAATTCAAGGGCCCATAACCCTATTGGTTCCATATTTGAAAGAGGGTTTTAACCTTTTGAAATATTTATATTCTTATTTATATTTAGATTCTTCTCCCATTTCAATGAAGATTACCAGATTTTCCCCCTTAAAGAGTGAGATGTTGAGTCTACATTCCACTTACAAGTCAAATTTTATTAATACACCATTTTCCTCATCTTGATGGAAGCAGATGTTTCTTAACTGAACTGTAGGGAGTTAGGAAGATGACCTTGATGGAGACATGCAAGATCCATTGCCTAGGCAAAACAGGCTGAAGCATTTAAATCCACAATGAGATAATATTCAGAAGCAGCTCAGGCAGATGCCTCCCTAATTCAGATTTTGTTGCAAGATTTTATTATAGCCTACCTCAAAAAAAGTAGGTTTAGCCTGCCTGTGGAGTTGACTTCCTGGTCTTCCTAGTGGGGCTGACATCAGGTGACCATGCAGTTGTTATCTATAACAGTGACAATGCTCTGAAGGTGAATCTAGATTGGAAATTGGATGAAAGAACATCTTAACCTACTCCTGCTTTTTCCCAGTCTTAACATTTCAGATAATGGTGCATACTATCATGATGATAAAGAATCAGGAATCATTTTCTGCTTTCACCATCCTTACAGGAGGGGTCACTATGTGGATAATTAGATCTGTTTGAAGTTCCATACAAGAAACTGGTAGATTTATGAGCAGACCAGTTAGCTATTCTGCTTGTCATGGAGGAAGCTCATTTTCTGAGAATTCCCAATTTTACATTAATTCCGTGCTCGAGCAATAACACTTCCTGACTAAGGTCAATCAGCACGTATTTTTGCACAAGTCCTACTCTTCTATTCTGTTAAATGACTTCACTGGGACATAACTACCATGGGGCTAAGTACTCTGGAATGGCTTCTTTGATTAGTAAAATCTTCCAAGAGGGCAAATTTGGGGAGAGACCATTATAAGCTATCTTCAGTCATCTCACCAGTTTCTTTTCTCTTGTCAGTTTTGAGGGAAGAGAACAAGAAGAAACAAAGTGGGTGATGTAATCCCTTGCTGTTGGAATCTAGGCAGCACCACAACTTGAGTTTTCTCTCTCGGGTAGATTGATAACTCTGTTTACCATAGCCTTGATTACTGCACTGAGTGGGAAGAACAATCTACCTTTACATTGTGAGAAAGCTATTAATGTAGTATTTGCATATTTTACTTAAATATAATCTCTTGTGGTTGTAAGTAGTTGAATAAAAAAGGAAACATGAAAAGCAGGCATTTTCAGAATATTAGAACAAAGGATTCACTTTGCCTTTAATTCCTTTTATAATTGGGAGTTAACTTGGAATATGAAAACATTTCAGTAAATATCCATTATGTGATGTTAGAAATATCAGTTAATTGCAGAATTAAAAAAGTCTTGCAAGTTTGGATAAAATTGTTTATGAGACAAACAACTTGGCTTCTCCTTCAGAGATTTTTGCCATATTAAGATCAAGCTTATTCAAACCTGTTTCTTTAAAAAAAAAAAAAAAAAACCAAGATTTTTGTGTTTGTTTTAGAACCGGCTGGTACGTCTTGTTTGCGTATTCCTGCAATCCTTGATTCGAAACAAAATCATTAACGTACAGGACTTATTTATAGAGGTACAAGCCTTTTGTATTGAATTCAGCCGGATAAGAGAAGCAGCTGGACTTTTTCGACTGCTGAAGACACTTGACACTGGAGAAAATCCTTCAGAAACAAAGACTTCCAAATAAGACTGATTTGGAAGAATTTTCTTTTTTTACTTGATTAGTGTGGAAAAAGATTTCTGTATAGTTTATTTCATTGCTTGCAATTAAAATGTTTGTGCTTTATTAAGCATTGCCTTTTGGTTGAAGCTTTTGTTGATGGAATAACTTGAACTAGCTTGAACTTTAATTAACTTGATGTTAAACTCTAGATCTGAAATTCTAGATGGGTACCAACCTACCTAGCAAAATATTCTTTGCTATCTTCCAGTCTCTATGTCCCACTTGATTTTTAATTTTTAAACTAATCAGTTTTTAAAAAATCAATTAGAATAATCTGGGAGCTTACATGTTGCAAATTAAAGGATCACCCACTAAAAACAGTAAAATATGGACCCAAGAATCATACTTGCAAAGGTGACATAGGCTGCTTTAGAGCATGCCAACTTCTCCTTTAAAAGATGTTTCCTTTTCAAGGTGGGACTAAATGCTCTGAGAAGCAGACTACTCTTGTTTATTGTAAATTTCAGAGAGGTATATATGATGTTTGATTTAGTCAAGTGCTTAATCTAGGACTGCCTTGAGCATGTTCACGATCAATGGCATTAAACTCCCAGAATTTCCCAGTCAATATGAAATTGCTGAGAATACTGGAAATTGAAATTCATGTATCAGGAAACAGTGGGTGGTGATTACTGATCAAGGGAGTAATCTTGCTCATCTGAAATAAGACTGTATCTGCCTCTTATAATTGAAATACTGCATTTTGAAAAAGAGTTCTTATTCCTTCATTTCACTGTGCATAACAGTTGGTTAAACTTAACAGTTTTATAGTTTTTCAGGAACTTCCTACTGAATTTCTGTAGTTCAGACCAAAACATTTCAAAAATAAAAAAGGATATCTATAGATATAGTGGAGAAATTCATGCTATGTTTTAGGAAAAAAAATATTTTTAAGGTACTCCTTTAATTTAGAATAAAATATTGTTTTAAAGATATACAAGCAGTAAGTTTTAATGGTATAAAACTTCAAACCAATTATTAAGCCTTACATCTCAAAAATAAGAACAGGGTTATACTGCAAAGATTTAAGAATCAGTTTTGTACAAAAAAGAGATGTTTTGCTCTCTAATAAATATTAATTAAGCTCAAAATATTCAAGTTTTCTCAGGAAAAACTATTTGTATGTTCAGAACACTTCTGTTTCATCTCCCAGGTATTTTTGTAGCCAAGTGTCTTCTGAAAATGGATGTTCAAAAACATCCAGTGGACACTTTCAAGGTGCCATCAAATGGCATTCATTTTGTTGAATTAGGCTGAGGGGACTGTTTCCTCAGCATTACTGATCAATGCTGGGCACACATAGAGTAATGGTGCCTAAATTGGTGATGCACTGCAGAGTGTTCTAGGGCAGACTGAGGAATATCTCAGTGAGAATCCTACCTATTTTATATATAGCAACAAGGTTAGCAGAAACATTTATTTTGTGATATACTTACTGAAAGCAATAGCTTATCTATAAAAATATCCTGTGGTCAGTAAACTTTAAGTTTTGTAAAGATGTATTTCTTTTGACAGAAAGGGGAATTGGGCTTATTTTCACTAATTTTCTCTAGATCCCTGAAAAACTAAAGGCTGGGAACAAGAGAAAGGAATTATTATTCCCCTGCAAAATGGTAATATAAAGTAGTTAAAAATTTTAATTTTATGCATGAAACAACCTCAAACTCTTGTTCCTTAGTCCTTAACAGAACCTGTGAATACAGTCAACAGAATCTTTAAAATGGCATAATGATAAATACAGCAAAAGAACAAGAAACTTGCCAGTATCAGAACCTGCTCCTAGGGAGATTATTTTAAAACAAGCAGACAGAGAAAAACATTCAACAACATAGGGAAAAGGTTTGAATTATATACTGGTTCATTTATTAGCAGTGATTCTATTGAGATGTCTCTGTATTCTGGGCAGAGGAAGCATCAAGTACAAGGCTGCATGGTTTATCTTGTACCTGAATGCAACAGCTGTCTGTACTTTGTAATCATTTAGAAAAAGACTACCTGCAGGGATCATACAATGTTTTATCTTCTTACAGCGCTGCCAAGGTCAGACAAAAAGGTCGCTTCGGGAGCTTTGTCATCATGCCTCGAGAGTAAGCTGCTAAGAGGCACTGCAATTCGGCCTTTCATTGTCATCACTCCTCAGCAGCACACAGGTTACAAGTTTTCTATAGACGTTTAGTCAATTTGCAGCTTATCTAAGATAAATTTCAGTTAGTTTCAACTCATAGTTGGATATACTGTAAAAAAATAAAATCTAAAATTATCCTACCTGAATAATCCACAAGTAAGGACTCAGGGTTTTAGGGTGCCATATTCAGAGAGACTGCTAAAGCACCTATAGTTTAGCAACTAAAAATCAACTTGTGGATCCATAAATCCTGGGGGAAAATGGTTTACCATTTCAGCACATTTTTATATGCTGCTTTCAAAATTCTTAAAGGGGTAAACCCAGAGATAAATATTATGCAGAACAATTGTTAAGGACCAAATGGCTGATACTTAGGGCATTGCAAGTACTCCATTTTAAGACTGAATCTTAAGATTGTGGAAGCAGTGGCTTCGTTCCAGCTCCTTGACACTACAGAACTGACAAGTAACATACTACTTTGTGCGAAGGGCAAACTCAGAGTACACACTGAAGACATGAGAAATTGTTTAACCCTGGCAATTAACATTTATTGAAAGACATCTGCAAGCTTATAGATGTTAACACTGACAACTGATGTATGGCATATATCTGGTTTGTTCTTACATAGGGTAAAGTTTCAGGACATATGTTTTTCAGAAATCTTTATGAAATAAAATATTTTTCTCTCCTTATTTTAAGCCTAGGTTTTAGGAAAAAAAGCTTGTTTCAGACAATGATATTCTAATTTTAAATAAATTTCATATTTTTTCAGGTTATTATAGAAAGTTTGGTTTGAACACGCATAACTATAAACACATACTTCATCATTTCCCTTTGAGCACTTTAATATATAACAACAAAAGATAGCAATCCAATGGTCTGAGATTGTTATACACATAAGGATTTGTGCTTCCCAATTTCTGTATAAAGGCACACCACTGCTATCTAGCACATTAAACCAATGAAGCAATATTCCAATTTGGAATATTGAAATAGAAATTTAATTCTCTAAGTATCCAGTATAGAATTCTGACAAAGAAAAACCAGAAAACATCTGAGATGGCACACAATTGTACAGCACTACACATGTAAGTTTTTTTTTTCCTGGCAAGTGTGCATCAAAGACTTCTAGAACCACTTATGTTTTACCTGCTTAAGCTAAGCTGTATTTTATAAGAAAATAATTCATTATTCATATATTGCATGTAGTGTAATATATCCCATATAATTTATTTGTGCTGTTTTTATTTGTGTTAGTCTTCCAATCATGTTTTTGAAATAGTTATGTGTTTCTTTTCCTGGTAAGATTTTCCTTTGCTATAAATAAAGGGACAAAGGGGTAGAAAACTAAGGGATGGGAACCTCATGTTATGAAAGGAACCAACTTTTTCCCCGGAATAAGAGTAACAACCTGACATTCTCAGATAATCTTGGAAAAAAAGCCATTTCTATAGGAAATACTTTTTTTCTCTTCCTCCTTTCTTCTTCTCATGGATCAAAATCCAAACGAGTGTATCTTATACACAGAAGAGTTTTGTAACCAAGACTTACACAAAATGTATACTTCTTAGGCTAGATTCAAGCCCATAACATTTTAAAAAACAAAATTGGTTTTTTACTGTCAGTTCAAGTTTCTCAAGTTTTCATTAAACGTGTTGTGATCCATAAGGCAAATGATCATGTTGATTATCTCCACACTCCATTTCTATAAAAAGAAATACGGAACTCATGACGTTGTTGAGCTACACTGCCAATGTGAGAATTATAACAAGTAACATACTTATAATATGCATTGCATCAGAACTCCTTTAAAAATATTAAGCTAGGCATACTTTGAACAAAAAGAAGCATGCCAACTTGGCCTATAATCAGTATTAAAAACAAATCTCTAAAGTGTATTACATTTGAATTTCCAAGACATTTAGTTAAAAAGTTTCCTAGAAGAAAATATAATTATTTGCATTCATGGTTTCTTTCCATTCTTTTCCCTAGCCCAGTTCTGTTACCCTCCATTTATCATATTTATTTCTTATGGAACCATTTGCTATTATTGTTCTGACTGAAGGAACAAACACAAACTACTGTATTGAATGACAGAATTCTAATGATAAGTATGTCACAAATTATTTTCTAACCTAGAAAAGACTCAAATGATCTGATTTTGAGATCAATGCTCCATGCAAACAAGAACTGCTTGGAAGCTTATGCAGGTTACCCAGATATTTAAATGATAAAAGCAAGGTCTAACCATATTCATCCTTAAGTCTAAATTTACAAAGTAATATGTTGTTCCTAGAAGAAGAAAAATCTCAGAAGTTACCTACCGAGTAAAACTGTTGTTTCACATGGATTCTCTTTTAAAACATTATTATTTAATGCAGATGAGTTAGCAGAAGATGCTGATAAGCCACTTCTTTCATTACTGTCTTCTTCCACAGAAATATTCCAGTTCCCAGTTGTTATGTTACAACTCACTGATTCAGACACTGCAACATCAAATACTTTTTTAGATCCTCCCTTTAAAGTTAGAGAAAAAAAATCATTAATTACCATGGAAGGGATAGAACCTGAGGTGAAGAGAAGTTTAACTGATAATTTCCCATAATAAAAGGCTTAAATTGGATGGATTCAGACTTTGTAGTGTTTGAATTCAGCAAAATTAGCCACTGCCTGAGAACATCTCTGAAGAAAAGCAAGCATTTTAGCAACAAGCATGGTTCACAGAAGCACATACAGTATTACATGGCCACACACATCAGGGGAGGACAACCTTTGGATTCAGCCTATATGCAGCCCCCAGGTTGTTTTTCTACATCCCTCACCCAGTGTGCTCTCCAAACCTCAATGGCAAATTGTTGAAAATCTGAGGCCTCTTTCTCATTTTGAGGTGGTAATAACATAAGTTGTATAAAATATCTGCATTACCAGAAACTAATATATTACATACGTTTGCAACATACCCAATATTCTAGTGCTCTGATGACATCTAATTTACACATTGGACATGTTCTGTGTTCCAACAACCAGGGATCAATGCAGAGTTTATGGAAGATATGTCTATACAGACAGAGACAATACCTTTAAAATCAAGTATAATGACATTCTAAAACCAAATTCCTATTTACAGAATAAAATATAACAAGTCACAAATTAAAGTGATAATAAAAACATAAAAATAGGAAGACTATTTCCATCCTAGGCTTTGACAAAACTCTGAATAAAGATATGTGTCAGTTGCCAATACAAGCATACATTTTATTGCACTTTCCTTTATTGTGCTTCGCAGATATTGTGTTTTTTTTTTTTAATAAACCGAAGGTTTGTGGCAACCCTGAGATGAGCAAGTCTATCAGATGATGATTAGCATTTTTTAGCAATATGGTTTTTGTTTAATTAAGGTAAATACATTGGTTTTTTTAAATATAATGCTATTGCACACTTAATATAGTATAGAGTAAACATAACTTTTATATGCACTGGGAAACCAAAAAATTTGTGTGACTTGCTTTATTGTGATATTCGCTTTATTGTGGTGGTCTGGAACTGAACCCACAATAACTCTGAGGTATGCCTGTAAAAAAATTAGACTCATACTCCATTCCATCAAAATTATAAACTAACACAAAAATGTAACATGTAGTAAAGGCAATAGGTAGCATTCAGAGAGCTGTTGTAGAATGGGTATCAGGTTATACCGGAGGAATATTCTCTGAAGGCTCTGGATTATCATTCCTTATTTGTGCAAAGCAACATTTACAATTGTCTTTATTGTATTGGCATGATGCATGTCTCTCTGTTTCTCTCTTTTATTTAGAAGGTTTCAATTTCCATGGGACCGTTTCTGCCCATCCCACCAGATCAAGCAGAAAGGACATGCTCCAACTCCCATCACTGAAGCAGTGTTGCTTGGTGGGTCCTCAGAAGCGTCCCTTTTCTGTCCTGGTGCCTGTCTTATAGGAATAGCCTCCCCCCTGAAATACAACCCTGCTGGTTTCCGCAAACTCATAACGACCTGGCTATACCTCCAGGTGCTGGGGCCAGGGTGCTACTGGAGCTCTGATGTGGTTGCATGTCTGCATATTTTATTTTTGTGAGATTTTTAGGGGCCTTGACTGCTCTTGCTATTTATTTTTAAGCCATATTTTACTGATGCAGACTGTGATTGTTTTCTATTTGTTCACTGCCCAAAGTCCTTTGGTAGATGGATGGCCATATAAATATGTTATAATATGTAAATAAACGGAGTGACGTATAGGAAAACAACCCGATATCACCTGATACATTTCCTATACAAGCGAATCAGGACACAGTGGTATCTGTTTACTTGTGATATGAACTATTGTTGAAATATTTTATGCCCTGAAAACATACTTAATGAGAGATCACTCACTTAAAGAGAATAGATTATTCACCTTGAGACCAATAGGGAAAATGAACAACTTCTAAAAATATTGTAGCAGAAGTAGGTTTCTTAATGTAATTTTACTATGCTTGCCTTCAGTCCAGATATTTCCCGTCCATAAAATAATTATGCAACTGATAATTCTTACAACACTATTTCAGCGTGGTAAAAACTCATGAAATGAGAAACCTTACCCTGACATCAGTCAAAACAAGGATCTTCTCTTAAATTTTTTAGATTTATATCCCACTGTGGCATTCAATGCACTCCTTCTTCCCATAACACTCACACTGTGAGATAGATTTAGAGACACCAATCTTTATACTTGAATGAACTACATACTGGGTAATAGCTACAATGCGTGTACGCCCTTCCAAACACCCTGCTGACTTTGTTTTTTTCATCTAATCAAGACCCATTGAAACAATGTTAAAATGTTTAATAATCTTACTTGCAAGGCAGAAGTCGAATATTATCCTTTGCTTTATAGTTTTCAATGCATATAGCACAATTTTCTGTGTCAATGGCCCAACACTTAAAAAAAAAAAAGCCTTGTTTAAGCACACCAGCAATAAAAACAGTTTTAAATATATAACACGCTCAGAGGCAACTTTGAGGAGAAGCAATGGATGTATTCAGTCTGGTAGCAGAACAAGAATTTCTGGAATGAAAGACTAGGATAGCTGTCAGCAGTGTTGCTGTTTATTGTTTTTATTAAAACTCTGAATTCCATTAGCTGGAACCTTGTGCAAAGGAGATAGAAATTGAAATTAAATAATTCTAAGCTCTGGGCACTAAGAATTGCTAGTTGCTTCAATTCAGTAGTCTATTATAATGTTTGGAAGAGCACTGTATTGATGGTATTTAAAAACTGGGATGCCTAAATCCTTGTCATGCAAAAATCTACCAGTAGAGTCAAATTTATTTTCTGTTCATAACTGCTAACTTTGTGCCTATCTTTAAACAGGACAAAAGAACTAGGATATAGCAGGTGTATGAAAATGCATTTAAATCAAATATCTTGACATTAGCAAAAGATGTTAACTCCAAGCCAAAGATGTATTTATATGATTGAATCTGGATGGGATGACCGACATTGGACCCTGGCAAGACAGAGTTGCTTTTTGTTCAGAATTCCGTTCTAGCTCTGGTGGTAACGCTGCAGTTCTGTAATCTGAGAGTCCTTCTGGACTCCCAGCGACTGCTAGTTAGGCAAGTGGAGGCTGCAGGGGTCTTTGCCCAGATTTGGCTGCTGCACCTGTTGGGGCTCTACTTGGAGCTGAAAGCTGTGCCCACAGAAACTCCTACCTCGATCACCACATACCTAGAATACTGCAATGTGGTCTAAATGGAGCTGCCTCTGGCACCCAAAACTGCAATTCATCCAAGATCACATTCATCACATACGCTGCTGGCAAATCAGAGTCACTATACTCATACAACAGCTATACTGCAGTCCCTGCACTGGTTGCCAACAGGTGTCTGGGTACAGTTCAGATATTGGTTTTAACCTATGAACTGCTATATGGGTTGTAGATACAAATAGGGCCACCTCCTCTGCACAGAAGTGGCCTGTCTGTATTGTCTGGTGTGTACACGCCATCAAAATCTTCTGGTTATTGCTTGAGGTGAAGGTGGTATGGGCCTGCAAATAATATTTTTCATTAGTAGCACCTATACTTTGGAACAGCCTCCCTCCCAAGATTAGGGAGACACCCTTGTTTCTGGCGTTCCAAAAACGAATGAAAACTTAATTATTCTGGAGGGCATTTGGACATAAGGATGCTATCACTGTGTGAACTGTATTTATTTTTTATTATACAAGGATTACTGTTTCTTATAATGGTTTACTATTTAGATACATTACATGTTTTTACTGATATAAACTGTCAGGAATCTACTTAGATTACAACAGTATAGAAACACAACATATAAATAAACTCAATTTTATACAAAGATATGAAGGAATGAATGTGACCATAATATATATGAGATGTGACTGTCAGTACAATTAGTTATCTGATTAATATCAAATTGAAAGTATAGCAAATAATATAAAGAGATATACAGATCCTACTAAATTTCCACTGAAAGATTTGGATGGAGTGGGAAATACATTTATCTTGAAAGGAACTGCAAATATTAAAAAAATCATTATTAGAAAAGTGAAGCTTATTATTCCCAATGCTAAATATGGGTAATTACCTTATCTTCATCCTTTACAATATAGAGTGGCAGCTGAGCAATTGCTTTAATTGTTTCTTCTCTCTGACCCTTAAAAGAATAAGATATATATGTTTGTGTGTTACAAAGAAATACCTTTCTGAGCAATAAGCACTTATCTAAGATCGGTAACAGCACCAAGTAAATCTATACTAGTGTTACAAGTTAATGACATAAAATGAAAATCCACAGGGTAAGGGCAAAGATGAATACAATAGCACAATTCAGATGATGATCATTTTGCTAATATTCCTGTTTTACTGACAAAGTAGTTACAATGGCTTTATGTTAAAAAAATCAAGGCATATTTGCTCAAATGGATTGGTTCCTCAGTATTTATAACTGTTCACAGCAAAATATTTCCATTGTTTAATACTTGAGTAGAGGGTTTAAAGAATAGGATAGAATTTAACAGGGAAAAACATAAAGTTCTCATCTAGTGAAGAAAAGTGTAGGATGAAGGAGACATAGCTTGGAAGTAGTAAACATAAAAGGAATCTGGGTGACCCTGTTGACCTCAAGTTAAACATAAGCCAGCAAGGTGAAGTGATATACCTACAAAAAAGGCAAAAGGTATCCTGGGGTGTATTACAGGAAGTCCAGATCATTGAAAGTAATTGTCTCATTCAACACTGCCCAAATCAGGACTCTTAGGAGTGCTGTGTTCAGTTCTGGGCTCCATAATTCAAAAGGGACAGTGATAAATTGGAGGAAGTTCAGAAAATAGCTAATAAGACAAAGAAAAGTATGAAAATGAAGCCCTTTGAGGAATGGTTAAAGCATCTGGCAATAACTGAGGGCAGATATGGTAGCAACCTTCAAATATTTGAGGGGGTGTCAAATTAGGGAGTGGAGTTATTCCCTGTTGCCCCAGAGGGCAGGCTGGAACCAATGGATTAGAACAACAAGGAAGCAAGCTCAGGCAAGACGTCAGGAAGAACCTCCAGACTGTATGAACTGTCAGCCAGGGAAACTAGCTGCCATATGAGGTTGTAAATTCTTTTCTAGAGGTCTTCAGACAGAGGCTGGATGGTCAGTCATCTAGGATGCTCTAGTGGATTCTGTGCTAGTGAGGGCTGAATAAGATGACCTTGAAGGCCTCTCCAACTCTATGATCCTATGAATTATAATGGTAGAGATAGACAGATTGGTTGAAGAGAAGAAAAGAGCAAGCAGAAAAAAAGAAACATGAAAAAAAAAGTTGAAAAAAGATCGCCACATTAACCTTTTCCATCATATCTACTTTATGCCTAATTTATGTAAATCTATACTAAGGAAACTGAAGATGAGATTGCAAGAACTAAATTCATGAGCTGCTTCATGAATGTGTTTGCCCAGTAGAGCCATGCAAAGCATTTGAAATGTAATGCAAAGGAGCATGGACAAAGCATTTTTTTTTTAATTTGTTCAAGCAGTTGTGCTGGAAGTAGCTTGGAAGCAGCTGTTTTAACAATTCAAATAAGACCTGGTTTGTTCAACACCTGCTTGTTAAAAAAACTCTCTTGAAAGTTCTGTGCAGCCTCAGCTTCTAGTATATTGTTAAATGAATTAAAAAGGCAGTTCAACTTGGTTACACATCCACAGATAATAGCAAAATAGGCATAAGTATAACAATTAGTTTCATCATCTGAAGATAACTGCTGCCCAGTTCTAGCTTAACCTACTAATCTGAATTATAAACATTTTCAGGTATATCTAGTTCTGGAAACAAGTTATAACAGATAGGCAGCACATGAACTACTATTAAGAAAACTATTCAGGCTAAACAGCATTCAAAGATTACACAAGATAAAAAGAAGAGAATTACCACCAATAATTACCTGGTTTCTAAACTGTGATCCAGTATAGAGGAAACGTTGTACATAAAAAAATATAAGCCATCCCAAAGATATAATCATCATTGTGATAAATGCAATTGCTACAAACACAACTGATTGTCCACTGATATATTCTTGTACATGTTGTTTACCAACACTAATAGTCATTTTCACTGGAATTCCTCTTAGCACTGGCTCCAGGATCTCCATTCCTTTTGGATACCCAACCATAATTACAACTGTATTGGCAGTACCTATTGAAAAGAAGAGAAACAGGAATCAGGCGCACTCTTCTACAGCTCTTATTTGCTGAAGAAATTCAGGCTATCTTACTGATAGTTGTAAGTAAATTAGAATCGTTCTTGCCATAGTTTTCCTTCCAAGATCTCTTGGTCCCAAGAATATGGCTAGGAACTACAGTAAAGGGGAGTAAGCAAGGATATCTCCTAGAACTATCACCTCTTGCACTTAAGTATAAAAAATAAACCTCTTCAGCTTTTTAAAACTAGACTTTTTTCTTGTGCAGCCTCCATTTGCTTTGGAGATACACAGATTGCTACAACAAGCAGACCAAGCATAAATATGCAAAATAATTAAAATATATTTATATATAATACTTATAATATAAAATATTACAAGAATTTAGACTGTACTTAAGATTCATGTTAAAAATAATTTTCTCTGCTACCATACATTCCAAATATTTAAGCTTGTGGCACATGAATCCATTTCTAGGTATTAAAGGCAACGATGGGTTAGATTTAAAGAAAAGGTCAACTAAGGTCTGAAAGGAACAGGGCAGTGATGATTTTTACTGGATGGATGGAGTCTCTACAGCCCAGTTTCTTTGGGCTTCCCACTACTGGAATGCAAATAATTGCATTTAAATAGGTCTGTATTTAAAAAATATAAAAATATAAATACATTTTAATGGGAAAATCCAGTTTTATATTTTGATATTTTATTTAATAGTGTTTTATCAAGAATGCATTCGAAATGTGATATGAGAAGGGGAAACTGGCTATGATTTAACCATATTTTCTCCAGCCCAGTTTCTCCCACTGATCTCTATGCTTCCCTCCTATTTCCACATATGCAGCACACCTTCTCTGGCTTCTGAACTGACAATTGGAAGTTCACCCATTTTGCTTTCCTGATAAAACAGAAATGTTTATCACTTGGAGAACCACAGCTTAGAAACCAACAACATGCATTTTTTCTATTATTATAACTGCATGTCCTTAACATTGAATATATAGCAAGTACTGAAAAATCCACAGTAAAGCTACCTGGTGTTTCAAAACTTTCACTGTAGCCCAGTGGTATTTTGTATTCCTCTGCCTCCAGCATACCCCTCCAGAATATATGTAGCCATTCTGAGATAGATTAGGAATCTCAATAATAAAAACAAAACTAAATGAAAAGTAACAGGAAAAACACAAAAACATAAAGCCATTGCAGGCTTAAAGGAATCATGTAATACATCTGCCTTAGCAATGAGGCCATTGGAGAAAGTTAAGACTGTAATCTTCTCATAAACAAATAATTTGACTAACCAAAAATGGCACAGATTAAAACTGTACCTCAGATGCCTTAATGAAATTCAAGAAAAATGCATTAAGATCGGAATGGCCCTCCAGATGTTGCAGAACTACAACTCTCAGCAGTCCAGACAACACAACCAATGATGAGAAATTGTAGCTGTAGTTCAGCAACATCTGCAAGGCCAAAGTCCCCTTTCTTCCACAGGGAAACAACAACTTCAATGTCTTTTTCAACAAGAATATCCAAAGTTGACTTCCTTCACACCACATAAAGACAATGTGCTATCCTAGAAGTTACTCACAATGTAGATCAGAACTTTTACAATTCCTAGACAATCTGCAGTAACAATCCTGCAGTGAATGATATTTTGTCTCCCTAAAACTGAATGGCACATAATCATAATCAAAACTGGAAACAAATTCTTCATATAGAAATTCCGTTAAATAGCATGAGTCTAATTAGCCTATTTTTTTCTGACTACTTGAAATAGCATCACTTTTTTTTCCATAAAGGGAGCAGCAGAATTTTGTTACCTCCCATCCAGTAATGCAGTTTCTTTACTCAACCAATAGCTCCTTGTTTCATATCACATCACAGGAGAAGCCCTGTAATTACCACACCTAATCTCCATCCCATTTCTGGGTCACTGACTGAAGAGTTTGCTTCATCTTAAAAAGGAGAATATGCTCTTGATTTTGCACCCCAGAAATAAAATGGTTTCTAGTCTGGGCTTTTACATCCCTCCTCAACAGTTAAGGATGAAATACCATACCTTCCATGTGGGCTTCTGAGATATTTGCCTGACAACTCCTGGGGAAAGAAGGCTGGATCAGCTTTTGCTTTGATTCAACCTCCTGCCTCTTAACTTCCTACAGACATGTGAAGATTGTACCTAAACCCCATCTTGATTCCACTGAATTCTAGTCCTGGTTAATCCAGGCTCCTCCTCCCCACCTTGACCAAATGGCAACAGAGGGATCAAGGCTAGTTTCAAGATGTTCGGTCTTTTTACATTCACACTGCGTTTGGCTACTCCAGAGGCGAAAGATCCTCTTTATTTCCCCAGTCCCCTACAATCGCTCGTCGATACCCACCCATCCTCGGAGCAAAAATAGGGTAGTTTTCAAATTACTTTCCTTATTTCTCCCCTCACAACCACTGACCGAGGTACGACATAGAGGTCAGAGTGGAGTTGCCGAACCGAGGCTCGTTGTAGATGACCACGGCGGCCGCTTTCCTCCTCGCTGCGTTGGCGACTTTGTCCTTCAAGTGGCAGCCTCCGTGGGCCACCAAGGCGATCCAGGACCGAGGCGGCGAGAAGGGCGCTCCCGCCCCCTTTTCTCCCGAGGAGCCCCCGGGCGGCATGGGGATCTCGTACTCCACCTTCGGGTCGCAGCCCTCCATGTGGCGAGCTGTTCCGCCGCAGGGGATGCCCACTAGGCCCTGCGCGCTCTCCTTGGGCGAGCTATTCCCGTAGCGCCCGCTTTCCGCGCTATCGCGCACCGTGCGGTTGGTGCCCGGCTCGGTGTACACCGTGCTCACCCAGGCTGTGTACCAGACCAGCGACCAGGAGACCCGCGGGCACCCTCCCACCGCCAGGAAAAGCAACGGCAGCGTCACGCGGTGCGACAGCCCCATAGCTTCCGGGCCCACCAGGCGAGCAGGCCGGCCAGCGTCAGAGGCGGCTGCCTGCGCCAGCGGTGGCGGAGAATGCTCTCGCCCGCTGGCCTGGGACGCGGTTTCTGCGGTGCAAACGAGCGCTTCTGAATTCCCGCCTCTGCCCACCTCGCGAGCAAACCGGCGCCTGAGCCTGGGAGAAAGAGGCGGCGACTGAGCTCGCTCAGGTTGTCCCCTTCCTCCTCCTCCTCCTGAGCGCCAGAAGGTTTCCGAGCGCTTCGGCCGCGCGCCCTTGCGCGCGAGCATTTCTGGCCACGCTTCCGAAGAGCGTCAGAAGGCTCTGAATTCCTCGACTGCAGCAGAGCGGCGCTCAGACACTGAACATACGTTACGGCTTGCTCGCCACTCGAGACTCAGCAGGTTTCCTTTCTCTGGTCCGGCTTCCAGTCTCGGCACGCAGTTCAGCCGTTGCTGCTTTCCCCGCCGAGCGAGCCCGCTAGGAGAGGGGCCTCTTCCAGAATAAACAGCTTTTCCCCTGCTCTAATTGGATTCCGTGGGGTTACATTTCGAGGCGCGAAAGAGACCCGAGTGAAGCGAACCGCCTAAGAAGGAAAGGGTTCTTGTGAAAGCTTTTATTCGTGGCCACGTTAGTAAGGCTCCGTCCAGCATTTCCGCAGCTCTTGAGCAGTTACCCTAAAATCCCTCTTCCCTCCACCCTTTCAGCTTTTGATCGAAAGATAGGGTCAGTTCTAGTTTTTGGTTTAATCGCAGACATAAGCCTTAAATCATTTGCAAATCTTCTGAGACACACAGTACAATTTTTGTTACAAAGCATACATTTGTTTTTTCCCCCTCAGGCCTTGTTGAATCGTCACATCCTCCTTAAAAAAAACCCATTAAATCTTTACATCTATGCTGCCTTAACTCTGAAAACAGGCCTTGCACCAGGAAACTGAGTGACTTCATCCTACTCTTGTCCCGTTAAAAGTTTGTAGGTCGGCCCCCTTGATTTAAAAGGAAACAAGTATAAATGATTACATATGTAAAGAAATTAAATATCACATGTATGTTGAAGGCTGCATGACTTTTTTCTTTTGTTTTTAAGAAAAAAAGACATTCTTAGTTCTGTATTGGGATATTAAGACTATACTCTTGAATTTATTGTTGGTTTTCCTGTTTTTACGTATATGTCCTGCTTCTGGCACTTAATCTTCTCAACCATTTTATTTTTCAAGGATCCTGAGTTGTGATTACGATTCTCAGATTTCCAAACCGATGTGGTTACAGTACTGCTGGAAACAAGCTGGTTAGACTGAAAGATAAATGGCTGGGTTCATACATTACACCAGGCAGTAATGCCATTTATTAATAAAATATTTGCAATTTCCATTAATACTTTATTAACATTTCATTTTATTAACATTTAATGTTTGATAAGTGTGTTACAATTATGTCATTCATAAGTGCAAATTGCAATGGACAAGTGGGGCAAAATAAGGAAAACATCGTTTTTATCCGGTTGAGGAAAATATTTTAGAAACACAACATTCTTTGGTTAAATAGCAGTAGATAAAAACAATGCTTAGTTCTTACACAAGCACTATATTGCTCGCTATGCAACTGTACACAGTTCAGATTATATTTTTAAATAATTTTACACCAAAGGTACAGTAGATCTAAAATATGGTAATTAATTACTATGAGACTGTTTTGCTAGAAAGAGGACTTAATGCCTGCTAGTCTTTTGAAATATTAATATCACAAATATATAACTACATTAAAATACTGTCCATGTCAAATATTAAGGCTCAAATTCTGATCCTGAATACCCCTTTTGATGGTTGAAGACATGATTTTACTTTGCCAGTCAAAATCAACAAGCTTAAGATCTCCATAGGAAATTTTACACGTTTCACCTTCTGGTAACGGCATCACCTAACCGCAACTAGGGAAATGTTTAGCTGAAGAAAACCTCACTGAGGAATTTAGCAGATGCTCATCCTGTATTATAACAGAGACTATAAGGAAAAAAATAGGAACCATTTTGAGATGGAAAGCTGTACAGTATGAGGATGGAAGAATCTTTCCATTTTACGTGGGGAAAGGCCTCAATCCAACACTGATCCTAAAAGAATGTCTCAGAGTCATATGCAGACCACTAGCAGCCCTTTTATGTTCCCTAAAGTTTGTAAAGTAGAAAGACCCAAACTTTAAGCCTTATTTTTGCATATGGGAGGGTGAGGAAGCAAACTTTACACTTTACAGATGCTTAAGGCACCTATTTCTCTTCAAAACTATTAAAATCCCTCCCACAATGGTTCCTGGCACTACCCACTTTGGCCCTCAACATGCTACACAAATCCTGTGTTGCCCACATGCCAATGGCAGTTATGTACCCCTAACAGGTATTGAGGCCACACGTGCTGCTTATATCTTTGTATCATGAAAGCATGTTTGTGTGATGTATCAGGCCATGTCTACAAAATATGAACCTAGAATAATTAGTTCACATTAAGGTTGGCGCATAAAAATAATACTTTGCTATTTACAGTAATTGTACCATTGTAGTACCATACAACTGTACTAAAATATGTTGTACAATATGTAAAATAATTGACAAACTCAATCTTCTATGCCATGTTAAAAGCTTTATGCTGCTCTTCCGAAAGAAGCATTCTCACTTGTTGAAAATGTGCCAATTTTTTTATTGTAAATCACTTATTTTATGCATGATCGTGCTAGATCTTTTCTGAACACATTCTGATGTTTGATGTGATGGATCTAAATGGAATTCTTACAGGGCAACATGATGATGTTCTTTGTTCATCCCTCTAAAAATACATGATGCCACACAGAAGCCACAAAAATGCATCACTTTCAACATACAATACTAGTGAACCACAATCAAACCAACCTATGTCATTCTGTCTTACTATGAACAGCAAATGCATGCACATTATAATATTTTACTCTTATTCATAAATAAGAATAAAATCTAATGATCTGCTTGCCATATGGTGTCTTATATGATGATTAATCATTCCAATACAGGAGTGCCATCTGAAATTTACTGTGGGAGTAAAGAATTTACAAGTTTCAACTAACCTTCTCTTGGATATATGCAAAATTAAATGGTGAAAAATATAATTTAGAGTATTTCTAGATATAATAACACATTATTGTTGTCAGTTCTGTTCATCATGAATATAACAATGTAATAGTATAAAAAGGGGATATAAATATAATAAATCATATTATTGGGAGGTGAGAGAAAAACATACGTACTTGATACCTATCCCACATATTATTTGATGCAGGGATTATAAATGTTATGACAGGTTTGTTTACATTTTAAAAAAATGTCTAATCTATTCTTCCTTATTAATTGGTCCCAAAATAAAACTGATTATCCCTTAACTTTCTAAAATGGTTTTTTTTTTTTTTTTGGCATTTTAAAATATCAGCACAAAAAGTAGGAATGCCTTAACATGGACTAGTAATAACTTTAACTTGGTTGCATTGCACATAATGCCACATTTAATATTATCGGAGTCTGAGGCTCACCTGGCCTCATATCTCTTCTCTATTCTTGTCTCGGGGAATTCAATCACAAAGCTTATGCTTCTGTTCTTAATTAACTATAGTTTCTCATTGTGTCCAAACTAGAGGAGGATTATACTCCCCCTGAGAGACTAGATTTGTAGTGTGGGAGTACTTGCTCAGTTTTAGCTGTCGTTAAATTTGTAGGGATTTGATCCCCTATAGCGAGGAGTGCTTTTACACAGTGCATACCTGTTATGCCATCCATAACAATTCATGGGCCGCTACGATTGGAGATGATTATCTGTGCCTTGATTATGTTCCATCTCAACTACTACAGTGAACAATAGTGGGCAATTCTTGAAAAGCAGAACTGTAAATTAGAAGTAGAATTAGGACTGCACTGATACAAATGCTAGGATGCTAACTGTTCAAGATACCAGAATCACACAATGCCTATAGTAAAAGACCTATATTGATTGCCAGTGCTTTAAAGTGTTGGTATTGACCTTTAAATCCTAAACAGCTGAGGGCCCTTCTCTCTAACGGAACACTTGTCCTGTTATGGCCATGTCTACTTAATAAGGCCAGCAGGAGAGGCTCTCTTGAAGATGTTCCACTGGCTTATCTTTCTAGTATGTGAGAAATGGCCTTTTGTTTATTTCCAGGCCCTCAGGAGTTCTGCTTGGCTCCTACTCTCAACATTTATATTTGTAATGATACATATTTTATCAAGCACTTAATTGATTATAGCTTAAATTTTAGTGTTGGTTTTAAATTGTTTATCAATTAACTAACTCTTTATCATTTTTAACTTTTCTTGGTCACCTTGAGAACTCATCAATGTAGAACGGAGGGATATCAATCAATCAATTAAATAAATAAATAAAATAAACTATTGTTTAAAGTTCACTTGTTTCAATAATTATTGTTAATACTCTCCATAGTTGTTCAGACTGAAAAAATAGCAAAAATATAATCTGTTGAAAATGAAGTAAAAACTTCAGATCTCTTCTTCCTGAGGACAGGAAGTTCGGAGGACAAGTAGGGACACATGCATTTGCTTAAGATTTATGTACAGAACCATCACTGCCAACTCCACTCTTACTATGTTGTATGTTGGTCTGCAATAGTGAGCGGAGGAGTAAGTGAAGTAAATTATCTACTCATTTCTGGAAAGTTAAATATCTCAGCTTTTCTCTAGTTTTTCATAAACTGTGTTAGCCACAAAGCTATTTCTAAATCATTCATTTAAAAGACAAATCTGTACCTAAGGAAAAATTAAATCTGTAATGTTAATTTAATTAAAATGCTACACATAATGAAAAATGTTATTAGAAGTTTTGATTAACAGCAGTTAGGGCATTAATAATCATTATACCACTCATTTCATCTTGGTTTGCAATTTCTGTCCAGTTTTATAATTTATTATTACAATACATCCTGTGGGATTCATATTTATAAAAACCCAAAAGTATTCAAAATATCTTAAGTAATAACTTAGTACGACCTGTCTCCAGACTGTTTAAGATCAGTAGCTTTCTTTCTGATGTTCATAAATTATTCTGCTCCAGTTAAGATGGAGCCACATTCAAAACTTTGCACAAAAATATTTTTAAATAAATACCTGATGACATAGTATATAAAACACTTTGTTTTGAATTAAATATGAAAATGCTGAATTTTCATACTTAAAAATTCAATTAAGGTTTACTAGGAACTGCTCTGAAATATTCCTCCAATGTAATGGTTGTAATTCCTCCATACCAGTTCTGTAGCCATATATGTTCAATGTTCATTTTCATAAAGAACCATTCATAACTGCGAGGCCATTTTCTCATTATGGGGTGCCTGAAACAACAACCAAACAGCTAGAAATGATTAGCTTATATTATTTTATAGACTTGTCTATGACAACATTAGTATTTTTAACATCAGCAGTTAATTATTATATTTAGGAAATACAGCAGTGAACATTTAAACAGTGATTGTTTACACTGCAAGATTTACTGAATGTTATTGGGTAATCATTGCACTATGCCTCTTGAAAAGTGATCCTTTTCGCTTTTCATTTTTCATTTTATTCAATTATATATCCATACATTATGTCATTGCTTGGAAAGAATGGAGGGAAAGAACTCCCTCCATTCAACAATTATTCTACTTCTATTATAATATGGGATTCATGCAAAGAGAAGCTCAGAATAAACAGAGAAATAATACATTCCTCACGAGTCAAGGAAACTCAATGTTCAGACAGTTTAATTTGTGATCATCTTAAAACTATCTGAGCTATCCCAGAGTAAGAAAAACTCATTTAATTTGGTCAGCTGCTTTGCTGCCTATTATTCCTTCATGCTAAACTGTGATATTACTCAGTTACAGTGATACCACTGTATTAGTGGTATTAAGTGTTTGACCAAAGGAATTTAAAAGATTTAGAATAAATATTTTAATTTTAAATTTTAAACATTCTCTTCTATTGGAATTTAAAAGAGCTTAACTAAAAGAGTGGGTGGAAGGAACCTTTGCTTTCAGTTACAATCTGATTAGTAAGTAATTTCTTCCAAAGGCTTTTTGGTATTCAGAAAGGCAGTGCATACATTTCCCTATACTCCCAAATACTTGACAGTATTTTACATCATCTTCCCCTCTCCCCACCAGACACACTTCAGAGGGTAACAGTAGATTCATACAGACCTAGAAAAGAGAGCTTGCTTGACAGACTCCAGCTCTTCTGGAGGCACTCTAACCATCTCTCCAGTAAAAATTAGCCTGGTACACCTTGGGTCATCGGGATCAACAATTGTTTTCCTATAAGCACAGGGACGTGTAATAATTAATATACAAATAGATCCAAAACAGAATCATTATTTAGTAATGTTCTTTCCATAAGAAAGACCCATGTGCTCACAACTGCATTTATTTGCTTCTTTCTAGGAGCTCACTTCTAATCTAGAAAAAAACAATATCTAATATAAATATTTTACACTCAAATTCTGTATCAAATTAGGAGTTGTTTCTGCCCAAGCCTATGTAACACCAACATTGATGTATGGAGATAGATTCAAAGGAACAGCTCAAGCTCAGTTTTATTTTTCAAGTATGGGGGGATCAAGTATTGTTTGTTTGTTTCAGAGTCCTTTGGTGATTCCCGATGCAATGAGACACTATCTCAGCATCTGACTGAAGGCACTTCCAGGCAGAATTTTGGTGCTGCTCCCAATGTTTTACTTTTGGTTCAGCTGTGGCTCAAAATGAACTGGAAATTTTCCAGGATTTATTAAAAAAAAATTTTTTTTGAGATGTTATTGCTTGCTTGCAGGCAGTTTCCCCTTGACAGAAACTTTTACCTTGCCCATGAATACAAAATCCAGATGGTCTAGAGAACTTCACAGTGAAGCACTGCCTTGTATAACTAGGTAAGAGATATATGCAAATCATATGTTCTGCAGGGGTGGAGTGAAAAAGGAAGCTGTGTTTGTAGAGTTTGCTTAAGTTTCTTAAGCAAGCAAAAGAAATATGTGCTTTGTCATATGCTCCACTTCTGCTTTGCATTCAGTTTCTCAGGCAGGTTGCTTGTATTGTTGCCACCAATTTACTTGTTTTGTGAAATGGTAAGGGCTGAGGAATACACAGGTAAGGAAGGGAAAAGAGAAGAACGTAGTTTTGAACAAAGGAGTTATTGTAATAATTTTTCTAATGTGTTTATCATGCAGTGTGGTTCGGTTCAATAAAAATGTCATGAACTGACACCGTATAACGTTATACATGATCAAATTAATAGAAATAAACTAATATAAATTAACGGACTATTTTATGTTGATATTGGAAAATATTTTTCTTAATTGTAAGCACAATATATTTAGTACTCTCAAAAAATTATATAAACAGATTATAGATTATGAGGACACAAAGTCTTATGCAATTCTAAGTGAATCGTATGCTGGTACTTTTTGTATCCCACCTACTCCTTTCTGTTCTTTCACTCAACAGAAATTCCCAGTTTCAAATGGCTCAGAGACTAGCAATCTCCTTATTAAAATATAGTCTCCGTAACAATGCTGCCAGCATCACATCTACTGGAGTGACCCTTTTATCTGCTCTGTATCTGATTATTCACAGTTGTCAGGAAAAAAGGATTATACCGATGTGCTACAGCAATCAAGAGTATAGCTTATCCATCAAGTTGTTTCATGATAAGCTTAACCTGGTTTACAGTCTTTTAAAAAAAGTAATATTTCTCAGCCAACAAATCACTGAGAATCTCTCAATTGCAGCAGATAAAAATCTAATACATGTAAATACGGAAACAAACACAAACTCAGCTCTGGGGACTTGAATTTTGAGCACAAGCTTCTTAATACATTATGAAGACTAATAGGGCTTTATTTTGCAGAAGCCACAGCAGCTCAATTTAAATATTTCTACCAAGTAGATACTAGATATTGATGCCTAGGATTAAACAAGACAAGCAGAATTATGGATATTGACAAGTTAAAGATTGGTAGTCTCACAATGAAAGAGTAAAATATGATGATGTTGTCTTTTAGTAAATAATTTGGCTACGAAAAGAAAGGGGAACAGATATCAAACAATTTTATAGGATCAGAGACATCTGACAGCAATGTCCATCACCTCACAATAATAAAACAAGTTTAAGAAAATTCCCTCCCCAAAGAGATTCTAAATTGTCCTGAAAATGAGATATAAAATTAAAGCATCTTTTAACTTAATTAATTGACTTAATATTAAGAGTCTGGCCCAGCAGCAACTTGTAACTCATGGTTCTAATGTATAGATGCCAATTTGGTCATTTGTCTGGAAGAGAACTTGAATTTATTATTTTTCTAATCGTGATCACTAGTTTCAAAGGTGGTCATGATTATCTCTTTGTGCTCTGTATCATTATTGTTTTTAGATAGGGCAATACAATACAGGAAAACTACCTGCCCTCGCCCTTTTTGTTGTTGCTAAGTAGCCAGCTACCTGAATAAATATATAAGTAACAATACACCTTTCAGAGAGGATGGCTTCAAGCAGAAAAGTAGCGAGAAGGGTAATGCTTAATTGTCATCTTCATTGGTTATTGTATCACTTGATATCTTATCTGATTTGTTTTTCACATCCCTGCCTTCAGGTTCTAGATATGCATCTATTGTAGGAAAGTTGCGATTCGATCTTGGTAAGAGAAAAGCAACTTAAGATGGTCATATGGAATAGAAAACTTGTTGGTGGAGAAAGGGCTGAGCATCTCCCTGCTGACTATTTACGGTCACATATTCTTGAAACTGTTTTTCCCCCCAAGAAACAGCTGTAGGCCCCAGGTTGATTCAACTCCTGGTGATTGCATCTAGGCAGACCTTTTTGGTGGTTTTATAGAAGTGGTTTGCCACTGCCTTCTTCCAGGAAATGTTTCTGACTTCTCAGTCTTGCTTTCAGCCCTGGAATTCCCACGTGCTCCCTCATCCAACTACTAACCAGGTCTGATACTGCTTAGTTTCCTAGATAAGTTAGGTGCTGCTCCCTGCCGAGGTGAATATGTTATGGAATTGCAAAACGTTTTTGTATTACATTCCCCCCTCTCCCCCCCCCCCAAATCAAGATGCACAGTATCTAAGCTAAGGTTTTGTTAAGATAGAAATCTTATAGGCCTTTTCTGTCCCTTAGAGTACAAATACAATAAAATTAAACAGCTCAGCATTATGTCATAACCCCAAACACCAGCCACATGAGATGACAACCTCACTCTGCCAAATTGTTCTTCCAGCTTTGTTAACTCTCTGTACTATTATATTAGATTTGGAACTCTGCATCACTAGTACGACAGGTCAGTGTGAGGCAGTATTTTGAATTTCAAGCTCAGCAACAATCAGCTGTTTAAATGGGTCAAAATGGGGTCCATTGGCCTATAAAGCCAGAAGTCAACATTTTGCTTGGATCAAGGTTCTTGAACCCTGCTGGGTGGGCTGCCTGCCTGTTTGTCTGAATAGGACTGCTTAGAATTTGCTATAGCTCCATATCAGAAACTCAGGAAAAAGTATACATGTTCTTCATTTAAAAAGGCAACTTCGTACTTGCCAAATATATAGTTTTCTGCATTAATAAATATTCAAGAGTTTGTGAAACTGAGTAATTGAATAAGTGAACTGCAGCTGCTCATGTAACAAAGTTTATTTCTAACATGACTGAACTGGGAAAAACTTATATTGCCATTTGCTTCTGTTTTGGAAAATATAGCTGCTGAGTTGGCTCTCCTAGATATATAACTAAACTGGATTTTCTGATCTAGTTTCTTCCATATCTTTGGATTCAGTTTTGGAGTTGATGGAGTTCTAGAACAACCACTACAGAAATGGAGATGTTGTTTTTGAGTGGCTGTATAACAATAGTGGAGTGTTCAACTTCTAAAAGAAGTCTACTTTTAAAAAGATTAATAAGATAACATAGCTTGGTTATACACCCTTTCCTCATTTAGCGACTGCAGTCCATTCCTTAAATCAGAAACAAAATGGTTGCTAAGCAAAATGGTTGCTAAGTGAACACGTGACTGAGAAAGAGAGAGCGAGGGATTGCTGGTTGCTGCTGTTTCATTCAGATAAAGTTATTGGGTACAGTGTCTTATGCCAGACCCACTTTTTTTCCTTTTTGCCCCCTTTCAGGGTGGATAGATTGCTTAAACAAGCTATCTCTTCCTGAGCTGCTTATGTGGGTGGCGCAAGACTTCCCTAAAAAATGCTAACTGTAAGTTAACAAGTCCAGCTGTGTGACTTTAATCTGTTGATTAGAACTGGGGGCTCTGGCGCTGCTGCCTGAAACCCACCAGACCTTAATCAGTTTCACACTGAAGGCTTTTGTTGTCAGGTGCATGGAATTTGGTTGTAAATGCTGTAAATGCATGCATTGGTCAGAAAGCGATTTTTTAAAAATTAATATTATTACCATCGTAGTATTATGTACCATCGTACAGTCGCTAAACAAGGTAGCCGCTAAACAAGGAGTAGCTGTACAAGTTATGGATATCGTTTGAGATGCCACAGAAATGATCCAAGAGATGGCCTTGACATCCACACTTATTCTAGACATGGAATCACCCTTTCTCAGCTATATATAACTTATTGTAGACTGAATGCTGAAAGAGGATTATGCAGGCATCTCTCAAAACAAATGAGAAATAACAACACATTTATTATGCTGCAACTGCAATGATTCTAAAAGTTGTTGAAGGTTTGAAAAGTGTCATTATAAAAGTTTCCAAAACCATTGTACCTGCAGAAATCTCCTTCTGCCTCAGGCAATGTCAATGAAGCAATTGAATTTTTCATCAGGTCAGCGACAGTGTTATCCTTTGGAGTCATGTAAAAGTAAGGAATTCCAGTGCTGTTGTCTGTGGGGCCATCGCTGATAGATAAGCAATTCCCAAATGGTGTCCCTTGGATCTGAAAAATTCCAAATAATTAGCCCTTATAAAGCATTTTTTGTGCAAATATTCCTGAAGTAAGTTTAAAATCCAGATATAGGTATTACTTACTTTGAACTCTATTGGATATCAGAAGTGATTTGCAATTTCTTACATTTAATCTGAAACACTGAGAAAGGAAATAGAAATGGATCTGTTTAAGAGAAAGGGAGTTATATCCTCTCTCTCACATAGGTTTTTATTTTTATTTTCGTTTTCAGTGTTTCAGATTAAATTTAGTATTTTTATCATACACCATTTAACAAAAAGGAATATTTGTGGTGCAGAAATAAAAACACCCTTCATAAAATATGTTACTGCATGCATTTCTAGTATTCATGATAATTTTATAAAGTCTTATATTGTTTTGGGAGTAATAATTCTGTGCAGAGAGCTAAATATTTCTAACAGAATTCTGAGCAGCCTATGGAAAATGCATTTTTGTTTATTTACAAAAGCCATCCATTTTTGTTTATGAGAATTATACCCCATCAATTCACTGCAAGTTGAATAAAGCAGACATGGCACAAAAGTAATGAAAATCAAATGAAAATGTTTTAAACAATAATACAGTCAACCACAGGTCCAAATGCCTTATGCGTGTCATATATAAAGAGCCACTTCTAACAAGCTGTGAAGGTGATACTTTACCTTGATCATTATTCGAAGTATGAATGGCAAAACCTTTAATGCAAGAAAGATTTTTTAAAAATGTAACTTTGGAAGATGAAAAGTTCCCCTGAATTGAGCTTGATTCTTGGTGTGTATGTTTTTTTGTGTGGGGGGGTAACAATAGAGTAGCGGATTGCTATTATCTCTTTCTACAATAGCTTTTGGACTTTCCAGATTAGCCTTCATCCCTGAGACATCTTAGTGATCTACCATCCGAATATTAATTACTATAGATACAGCCTTGCTTCACCTTCTGAATTAGCCATCTGCTGTGACTGCGACTTTATACGTGCTAGAAAGAAAATCAATCGAATTAGAATTTATTTTGGCATGGACAATGTATAAAGTCATGCTGTAAGAATATTAAAGTCAGCTATAATATCCTCCAAGTCTGCAAGAATTTTAACAATATTATTATAAATAACAAATATTTTAATTAGGGTGGTGTAGCACTTCAGTTGGAGCTTTAAAATGTGCTTCAGAGTACCACCACATCATGTTAAAGCAGTGCACGGCCCTAATGGAAACTAATGAATTTAAAATTTGATGGCAGAGTCAATTGCTTATTAATTGTACAAACAAAAATGTTGACTTTAGTGGTGTCCAGTAGAAATCATAACTTTTCCTTCTCTCCTCTGAAGCATAATCCCCCATTTTTCTCCAGGCTGTATCCAGAAATGCTGCTACCCTTCTCTTACTTTCAAAGAGAGTTTGCTCTGCAGCAGAACAGACAGCACTTTTAAGGAACATGAGACTCGTTTGGGCCTGTGGAGTTAATTGGGAATTACGTTCTTTGGCTCTTGACCTATATGTTGTAAATGACAGACAGCTGGCATGTTCATAATACAGACGGGCAACACTCCTATTAAAAATATTGCAAAAACAGAAACAACAATTAAGACTTCATAATTCAAGCATGTAATTTATAGGGTTGAAATGGAATTACAGGCTTCCACTGTACAAAAGGAAGCATGTTATCAATTATTTTTGTTAGCAAGCAGCCCTTCCAATCCAACGTCTTCCAGACTACAATTCCTATCATTCAGAGCTAATATGCTACCCAGTAGTGAAGGCTGAAATTGCCTTGTTCTCATTATCTCTCTCTCTCACACACACACACACAAACACACACACAACGCACAGTGTGTGTTTCAACTGTGTTTCAACATAATATACACAACTGGTATTTAAATATTAAACTTAAACAAAACACAACCCCACTGAACTCATCTAATTAAGATAACACTGTGTATGCTTTCAGTTTTAATGGGGATATGAAAAGTGCCCTGTTGAAAAGGCGGAGGAATTTTAAACAGCTTTTAGCTGTGAGAATACGCAGCAGCGCCATCAAACAGAAGGAGAAAAAAAGAAGCAGCAACAAAGAGGTGGAAGATATTAACAGCTGTTAGGAAATGATATATATTTTCTTTTTATTCTCTCATGTATGTATATATGTATGTATGCACCAACTGTAATTCGTGTGAACTCCTTTTTTATGCGGCATATACCCACATAACAATTCATGAAAATGCAACTTATACAGTGGACTAGGGTATTTTTATTACCGTCTTAGACCTGAAGTCTAAGATAAACAATTTAAAACTTGGATTAATAAATAAAAATGTTCATAATAAACTGCAATTAAAAGCAAGAGCTTGAATATATGTAAATAAAAATAAAACTTTATACCTTGTTACAAATATATTTCATATATAATCTAGTACGATACATTAACTGTATGTTGAAACAAGTTGTGGGTTTTAAAATGTGCAAAATAATGAAGTCAACATAATTGTTCCTTAAATTGCTTTCTTTTCCAATCAACTGAGTAGCTGTGCATTAACTTAATTAGTGTTGTCTTCGACTAAAACATCCACACAGACCACAAATACATTAGAGCTTTTTATGTGACTTCTTCTTAGGCTTCCTCCGGGATTCTTGAGCAAAGAATGGAATTACTCAGCAGATTGCCTTTGTGGTTAATCTCACAAGCACAGTTTACGTACAGAAAAAAATGACGTAATACATTTTGCGTGGGGGGAAAAACTGCCTTAGAAAATGATCTGGAATCTTTAAATGGTGGAAAATATGAAACCACATTAATGGACTATAGTAGTTACACCAGATGCCTGGGCTTAGTCGGAAGACCTTTAAAACCCAACACTGGACTCTTTGATCTAAGGAATACCTTAATTTTGTCCAAAATTGCTTAGTTCAAAGGTAAGTGCCAGGGAACCTGCTTATTAGGGATCCCATTCAAGTAGGGCCTCAGCCCTCTTGATAGTTGTAAAGCAGGGCTAGAGAAACTGGTCTTCAATATATGTTTGAATTACAACTCCCAATAGCCTTAAGACCAAGAGTGAGGCATGCTGGAAGTTGTAGTTCAACATGAACAATATCTGAAGAGCTGAAGAGTCCCATCCCTACTTTAAAGAATGACTATCTAATCACTTTTATATTACTAGAGGTTAGTTGGGAACAAGAAAAATTAAACATTAATTTTCACATTATTTTTATATTTCTAAATGAAAAGATTATAAATATGCTTAAAGCAAAATTGCTGTTGAGTCAGGTGTGACTCCTGAGGACTTCGTGGGCACATCCATATAGTTTTAAGGCAATAATATGAAGGTGACCTGCCACTGCCTTCTTTGGAGATTTTTCAATTTCCCAATGTACCCTATTTCTGGGAGCCTCCAGAATTTCCTGGGAGCCTCCAGTCCAAATACGTGCTATGTCCAGCCCTGCTTAGCTTTTCATGACCAGCTACGGTGAGCTAATTAGTGACACCTGCTACAGATATCTGCATGGAAGTAGATTACAGGTTGTGGAATCTCTTAGGTCTCTGTAGCATGTCATACTTTAATTTCGTTAGATTTGCAATAACTTCATGTAATCTCTGACTTTCCTCTTAAGTTAAAATTTACCCAGGCTCTCTCATACTCAGCATTATTTTCTGTGAGTTAACTTATGAGGTGTATACTTTTTTATTTCATTATTAAAAATGGTAAAATATGTACTAGATGGCACAACTGGTAGATGACTTCACAATTGGCTGATTGACCACACCCAGAAAATAGTCATAAATGCCTCCACATCATCTTGCAGAATAGTACCAAATGGAGTGCTACAGGGCTCTGTGCCGTTCAACATTTTAATTAATGACCTGGATGAAGGAGTTGAGGGGACAATTATCGCCTCAACCCCTGATGCCCCAAAACTAGGAGGGTGGATAACAGTGGGGAAGGGAAGATTCAGAGTGATCTAGGTAGGCTTCATATTTGCTTAGGAAAGTCAGTATATGAAAATGCATCTATTTATTTAAAACTAGGATAAGATAAAGATCAGAATTATATGAATTTCAAAGTATGTCCTACATCTATGTAAAAATGGAGTGCATCTTTAAAACATGGAGTGCATCTTTAAAAAATTGGGAACTGAAATCACAATTGACTCTTCTTTCATAATAAACAGTAGAGGAAGCATCTTGAACATCATGAAGATGTGATATTTGATCTCAGAATTAAATGTATGACTTTTATTGAAATCCTATAGCCATATCATTGGGGTTTTTTTTAGATGTGTGACTTCTTGTCAAGTGTTGACTCCTAGTCAACAGCTGGATTAGTCCTGCAGCTTTCTTAGCAAGATTTCAGGAGTGGTTTGCCTAGGGTTGAGAGAAAGAGTGACTGGCCCAAGGTCACCCAGATGGCTTTACACCTAAGATGGGACTAGAACTCCTAGTCTCTGGGTCTCTAGCCTGGTGCCTTAACCATTACACCAAACTGAATCTCATTGTTGAAATAATTATGCATAAATGCTCTTCCAGAAAGTTCTTATATATCCCCACTCTCCAAATTATAAGAAGAATAAAGAGTAAAAACACATTCCATTATTGGAACAGCAATTCTTAAACATGTGCATTTTAACAATTTCAAAGCTGGCTTTTCTTTTCCCATTTACGGCAGTCAATTTGAAATCAGTACAGTACAGGCATCTCCCAGCACTATTGTTAGTGAACTGGAAATACCAGGGTCCTTTAAGTAATGGGGGACAGTACTTTTCAGTATTGGTGTTGCAGTAGTAAAATAAGGCTGCACCCCAAATCACTGGAATGAATGAATGAATGAATGAATGAATGAATGAATGAATGAAACCTTTGCGGAACTCTTAATAATTTGGTCCCATGTTTAAAGTCTTAAAAGGCAAAATACCAAATCTGAATTACTCTGGTATAATTAACGAAACTGGACCCATTCTTCCTCTAACTGATTGTTTGGGGGGGGGGTGTTTTGAATCCACCGGGCAGGTGTTACTAAAGAGGCAAAATCACCCTCCTGCTTCTCAGGAGGAGGGAGCGAAGCCGCGTAAGCAATCTCATTCAAGCCACTACTTCACCGTGGATGTGTCCCCGAAGGAGCACAGCGCCGGACGGAGCCGAATGGCAGCAGCCTGAACAGCG